GTATTTTCTAGACAAAGCACTTCAACTCAGCAAAGGTGGTTACTTGACATATGCCTGCCAGAAGCGTAACGCGAGTAACATTGTTCTCTAATAAGATATCAAAATGTAGTAGTTGCTCAGTTTTCTCACCCTCCCGGGGGAAATATTTCAAGTTATATGAAGTTTGTCTGCAGGAATCCCGATTGGGATTACCTTCTATATGCCGAAATACCAACCCTCATCCCTTACATGAAATACAAATATTCAATATACCAGTAAAATTGGCTACATAACTTCGGGTTATGCAACCAGCTGTGCGCAGCTGTTCGGAAGGAGGCACATTTCAAAAACCCATCAATCGCAATCTTATAGCGCGATTTTCACGATTTTCCAATAAATGCAAATTGCAATGTATAACAATTTCCCCGCGCTTACCATATGAAATCGCGAGAAAAAAAAGTTTCGCGCTAAAAGTTGAAACTTTATGAAAGGCATTCGGGGAAATTAGATTTTCATTTGCGATTTTCCGGCGGAAACTTAGAAGAATGTTTAATCAAGTAGGGCATAAAACTTCATAGCGAATACAAATTACATTCCCACCGACCGACGTCTAAATTTTCTAAACTACGAAATGAAGACGTAAAACTAATAAATCCTAATGTCTTTTTGTTTTCCAAAACGTGATATCTTACCCAATTTATTTTTTATCACGAGGCGCACTCGCGCCGAATTTTAATTTCTTCGATTCGATGATGAATCGACTTAGTTTTCGGCCGAAAGGCGAATCTACGTAGAATAATAGCAAAAGCCAATTGGCGATGCACCATCGAAATGCAGCTGAATTGCATTCTTCGGTGCATTTGGTCATGCAGGTCTTTGTCCGGACATTCACTCCCAAAAACTAGTCGCTTCCTAAATCGTCACCCCACGTCATATAACGCACTCCTTATCCGACACTCGCGAAAATTAGCAACGCTAAAACGAGACGGTAAATCGACGCGCAACCCTCTACTACCTACAATGTAGGTAATTGCGGAAACATGCTCCAGCTAAATTGTCGTTCATAATTTTGATTTGGCCGATTCGAATATTTAGCGCTTTTAGAACAAAAAGTCGTTAGTCTCTAATTGGACGCGACCTTTCGGACCGCCCTTATTAAGAGATATTGTCTTTCAACGTAATTTGCTTCCTTTGCCGACGATCGTACCGCCGTTAAATTTATTAGTCGCCCAAATTCGGTCTAGCAGAAGCTACCTACGTTCAACCCTCCTAAAACAACATTCATTTAATATTGCAACAAATGAAATTACTTCTTGCGCTTAGTTTCACTTATTCTCTCCTTTTAATCCTATTTTCCAAATTCGTAAAAGTCTTGAGATCCTGACGGTTAATCATATTCTACAAATTTTTCGAATTCGTTAGAGTCAAATCAAAATCCAATTTTTCATTTATTGAGTAGTAAGAAAGAATTTGTAAAAAATTCATTCATTTCAAAGTAGCGAGGGCTGGTACTTAAATTCACATTTGTAGGGATGCTTTTGGACCATTTAAAGATAATCAATTAAAGAAACAAGAATTTTTTATGTACAACAAAAGTTACAACCCTCTTATTGTATATGAGGATAATAAGTAAGAGAGAATTCCTAAAAAAATTCATTCATTTCAAAATAGCGAGGGCTGGTACTTAAATTCACATTTGTAGGGATGCTTTTGGACCATTTAAAGATAATCAATTAAAGAAACAAGAATTTTTTATGTACGACAAAAGTTACACCCCTCTCATTCTATATGAGAATAATAAGTAAAAGAGAATTCCTAAAAAAATTCATTCATTTCAAAATAGCGAGGGCTAGTACTTAAATTCAAATTTATAGGGATGCTTTTGGACCATTTAAAGATAATCAATTAAAGAAACAAGAATTTTTTATGTACGGCAAAAGCTACACCCCTCTTATTGTATATGAGGATAATAAGTAAGAGAGAATTCCTAAAAAATTAATTCATTTCAAAATAGCGAGGGCTGGTACTTAAATTCACATTTGTAGGGATGCTTTTGGACCATTTAAAGATAATCAATTAAAGAAACAAGAATTTTTTATGTACGACAAAAGTTACACCCCTCTCAATTGTATATGAGAATATTAAGTAAGAGAGAATTTCTAAAAAAATTAATTCATTTCAAAATAGCGAGGGCTGGTACTTAAATTCAATTTATGGGATGCTTGTGAACCATTTAAAGATAATCAATTAAAGAAACAAGAATTTTTTATGTACGACAAAAGTTACACCCCTCTCATTGTATATGAGAATAATAAGTAAGAAGAATTTCTAAAAAAATTAATTCATTTCAAAATAGCGAGGGCTGGTACTTAAATTCAAATTCATAGGGATGCTTTTGGACCATTTAAAGATAATCAATTAAAGAAACAAGAATTTTTTATGTACGACGAAAGTTACACCCCTCTCATTTCATATGAGAATATTAAGTAAGAGAGAATTCCTAAAAAATTAATTCATTTCAAAATAGCGTGGGGTGCTACTTAAATTCAAATTTATGGGGATGCTTGTGAACCATTTAAAGATAATCAATTAAAGAAACAAGAATTTTTTATGTACAACAAAAGTTACACCCCTCTCATTGTATATGAGGATAATAAGTAAGAGAGAATTTCTAAAAAAATTAATTCATTTCAAAATAGCGAGGGCTGGTACTTCAATTCAAATTTATGGGGATGCTTGTGAACCATTTAAAGATAATCAATTAAAGAAACAAACATTTTTTATGTACGGCAAAATTACACCCCTCTTATTGTATATGAGGATAATAAGTAAGAGAGAATTCCTAAAAAAATTCATTCATTTCAAAATAGCGAGGGCTGGTCCTTAAATTCACATTTATGGGGATGCTTTTGGACCATTTAAAGATAATCATTTAAAGAAACATGAATTTTTTATGTACGACGAAAGTTACACCCCTCTCATTTTATATGAGAATAATAAGTAAGAGAGAATTCCTAAAAAAGTTCATTCATTACAAAATAGCGAGGGATGGTACTTAAATTCACATTTGTAGGAATGCTTTTGGACCATTTAAAGATAATCAATTAAAGAAACAAAATATTTTTGTGTACGACAACAGTTACACCCCTCTCATTGTATTGAACAGTCAGCCGCATCCTTTCCAGAAAAGATGCATTTGAGTCAATTGTCCGAAGTAAATAAATGTTGAATTTCAACAACTTTAATTAGAATTGCAAAATTACTGAAAATAACGTGGAAATTTAGATTTGTTTCAAAAATAAATGGTAATTTCTTTGGGTAAATTTGAAATTAACATAAAACCTCTAATAGCGTTTTATACCGTAAGTATAATTTCCGTTCATGAATGAATATTTAAAGTTGCACCAGACGACGGCGACCTACAACAATATAAAATGTATTCGATAGAACGTTATCCTTGAACCATAAACATGGCAAAAGTCTAGCGCGCGCTATAAATAAATTTGACACTTTTCGTCTAGTCGCTATTACCTATTGCATAGATAGCGGCATAATATTCAAAACAAGTCTGGGTTTATTCACCAGTCATTTGCACTTGTTTATTTTTCTGCACGCCATCGCCCTCCTTGTCCATCTCGAGGATCTCGAACGACGTTAGAGAACAACAGATGATCATGATACGCCCCAAGATATTTAAAAATGATTGCAATTTGACTTTCCCAAAGTCAAGTTACGCTACGAAGTTGCGAGCAAGTGCATATGATAGAAGAAGGAAGGGGTTAGCGAAATTCTGGCGGTTTTTATATTTAATCAATTTGGGAACGTCGAACAGACGGAGACGAACGTAGGTGACGTGTTCCGAAACGCATTCAAAAATTCTAGTTTCGATTCGTTGCAGTGACCCGGGCTATGCACTCTCCTATGCAGTTGAATGTACTTTGTTCTGCTAATAAATAAGAATTTGATAATTTGATCCTTTTTATGCGGCCACTTAACTTTTTTGGTTTGCCCCTTCTCACTTTACCCCTTTTCTTTAAACGAGGCTCCCACTGTCGCCAATGAACAACAAGCAGATATTCAAATTAAAAACCTTAAAAACTAGGCAGGCAAACATTATGGCCTTGGCGTATTTTGTGTCCTCATTTCAAACCGTTGCACTTTTAAATCGTGTCTGCAACTCTTCCGTTACAACCTGAATACTGTCCTTATTCAATTGATGGCCACTAAAGCACAATAATGAGATGAAAGACGTAAAAATTACATTTCAAATTTGTCAATTAAATGCAAATAACGCGCGTATAAGTGCTTAAGGTCACTAGAATTTATGCTCGCCGTTTATGCATGCATCTAATTTGTATTTTCGATTGCGAAACATTGTTTATTATTAACAAATTCGGTGGAATTCTTATCGATCCAGAAAAATGGGTTAATAAATGAAGGACCTTCGCACTTTAATCCTCTGACCCAATTGTGAATTCATAAAAATGTAAAATGCATATAAGGCGCATTGAAAACAGTATAAACCAATTATGAGGGACATGCAGAACCCTACAAAACAACAGAAATTATTAAACTACCCCTTCTTATAAGTAACATGTCATGGTAAAACCTAACAACCACTTCTACAAAGAGACCCTTTCCTGATTTTGTAATCATATCCCGATATTTAACAGCGCATTCTAAAGTTAACAAATGTTGGACAAAGAATTGTGTTGCTATAGTTACAAAAGTTAAAAAAACTTGCAATTACCAAGAAAAGGACATGTAGAATAAAATATTGAAGTTATCTGTCGCGAATGTGTTCATTGTCAATGGCAGTTGTAAATAATAAAGTGTTTTTTGAATTGACCTATAGAAAAAAGGTGTAAATATCTTTCAATTTAAGAGATCAAGGGTGGCGTTCTTAGAGAATTCGAGACATTTTGGCGACCGTGACAGGACACCTGACACTTAAGAAGAATTAGCTGCGTACAATTAATTACACATTATGATTTCTAGCTAATTCTTTTAACTTGTTTCAGTTAAAATGTACAGAAACGAGATTATCAATACCGGGTGGCGACATGGAAATTTGCGATGGTATAACGACGGTCACCAATGGCATCAAGAGCACTAGTCACTCAAGCACGAACGGCAGCATCATCACGATGACCCTTAAAAATAATCACCTCATCGTCGAAACGGAAGAACGAAACGTGAGTTTTTGCCTCCACTCATTTTGAGGTATTCATACTTTGGCACATTTCTAGGATATCCAAGAGGACAGTAGAGAAACGACGATGAAGTACTCGCCGAGCGCTCGGAACGGGGTTTTCGTGGTCGAAGTGCAACAAGGCAGCAAGAAGAGTCCTAGCGCAGCCATCGATCCCGGCCTCGTGGTCTCCGTAAGTGACCAGTGCGCGCTTATTCACAATCCCCCGGACCGGTAAATATTCCACCCTGCTCTTTGAGCGAGTAACCCTCTCAAGCTTTAGGTACAGTGAAGAGGAAATTGTAGAGGAATGCGACTATCCCGACACGATACCCAGCAGGGACACCGCCAGTTCCTTACATATCTTAATACAAACGGGACTGACTCAGTCGAATTCCAGTTTGGCGTCGTCCACAGTCCAGGCGTACCGGTACGGTAATCAGGAGGGTTACGAGACGGGGAATTACGGTTATCAAACGTGCAACGGGTGCCACTACAATCCGCCGTTGCCGAAAGCGGAGTCGAAGAGTAAGCCGAAGATAATATCGGAAATTTTCAAGAGCTCGAGGAGCGAGTCGAAGTGCGGTTCGGATCCGTATCCGGACGGACCTTTGCTTTCCGACATTCAACTGAAGGAATCTGCGAGCATCGCGCATAAGGGAGAGAGCATCGATGGGGATGATGTTAAGGTTGTCAGTGCATAGATATTGAGAAATAGGTAGGGTCCACAATATCCAATTTTGTGTCTCTTTTGAACTGTTTTTAATCGTGCCCTTAGTTCATTCAACTTCCCGCCTCTCTCCAACATTGGAACGTTGAAAAAATAAATAAATCTCCCACAAATGGTAAAAATTTCAAGTTAACTTTTTTGTATATCTATTGCAGATCGAGTTAATTCCATTGTTTCATCAGTTAAAATTTAAATACGCTTTAGCCATTCGTGCGTGTGCGACGGTTTTACCACTTTTTGCAATGGTAATATTTTTAAAAAATCATCACACCCATAAAAAGGTTCCGTTTACCTAGGGGAGGAGGATACGTAAAGAGAAGAAAGTTTCGAGAGCCACAAAATTTGAAATGGGGCTAACCCCTGGAGCATCGAAGGAACCCTGGATTTAAAGATATATTACTGATCATAGTCTTACTTTGCTGGAATGATTGATTATTTTAACAATAGGTTCTAACTCCAGTCAGAAAAAAAATCACTAAATAGAGCTCTGGTGAGAATAAAGCTCCAAAAAATCGTAATTGGAACCTAGCACAGCTACTCTTTCGATTCTGGCGTCAACATGGCAATCTGTTAGGCTAATAAGAATATCTAAGAAAAAAAAGGTGAAGACACTAAAAGAATATGAAGAAGACAACAGGGAAATAAAAACAGAAGACCTTTGAAAGAACAGAGGAAAGGAGGAAAACGCATTTAGTGAGAGAGATATGGAAATAGAGGCCAGGAAGCAGCACTTCATGAAGGTAGTACCAACCACCTTTCATTAGAGTACCGCAACCCCCTATTTTGATAAGGGGTAAGAAAGAAGGCCGGTGGAGAATAGTCCTTGAGACCTTTAATTAAATCCATTTCTCTCCCCCCCACCCCTTTCACCTGTCAGCCACAGATCGTGAAAAGGAGTCGCAGAGGAAAGTTACAGTTTGTACAAATCATAATTCATTTCGACGAGACCTTTCATTAGAATTCCATGAAGGGTAGAACGTGTGTTCACCCCCCCCCCTCTCAATTTTCAGAAGTTTTACTTGGCGCCACTAAGGGCATGCGCATGCAGAATATGAGACCGATTGTTTGTCGCGTGTAAAATTTATACACGTATAACTTTCACAAACAGTATTTCAGGAAATAATTTGTGCCCCCCTCCTCCCTTAAGAAAACAAAATTCTTGGCCATTTGGACCATATTCCCCTAAAAGTAGTTCAACGCGACAGAAGTGGGTCTGGACAGACGGACTAGTGGACTGATAAAACGCAACCAATAGCACATTTTTGTTGATTTTTAAAAAATGCCGAGGGATGATAGAGAGAGGAGGTAGAGGGGAAGGGGGGTACAGACACAAACATCAGAAGAAAAGAAAAAAACGAATTAAAAAAGGAGAAGGGCCACATGAAAAAATTCTGGAATGTAGCGGGGGCAGCTTGTAAAGACGCTCAATTTTGGGAGTTTGTATAAGAGGATATGAGGTTGTGGGGATGGTAGAATCATGAATAGAACAAATCAATTGGAAGAAAATAAAGAACATGATTCCGAATGACCAATTTGCGAAGAGGGACAGTATAAAGGCAGTAAAAAAAGGATAAGGAAATGGGGGGATGAAACGAAAGAAGGGGACGGGATACCGGTCAGACGAATGGAAGTGGAGGGAAAGAAAATGAGCGTGATAACGATATACAACAGGGAAGAAGTAAAGGACTTAAAAAATCAAATAGAAAATAGGGTACATAAAAGGAGCGGCTAATATCGGGAGATTTTAATTCCAGAACAGAAATTAAAGAAAAACGGGTAGAGATAGGAAGAGGACCACAAGATATAAAATCAAGAGTCCAACAAAGAGGGAGCAGTGTTACTGGAATTATCAGAGAAACCTAGAGAATTTTCAAGGGAAATATGGTGAAAGAGGAATACACTAGTAAATGAAAAAATACTGAAATCAGACCAGATGGAATTGAGTCTAAAAGGGAAGATAAGATGATCACGAATGAAAAGACGCAAAGACTAAGAGAGATACAGATATGGACAAGATACACGATGGAGCTGTATAGAGGGAGACTAGAGAAACAAGGAGAAGAAGTTGGAAGGAATCCAGGGAAGAAGTGTGATAATATAGAGAAGAGTATTAAAAAAGTAATAACGTAGAAACAAATAACTGAAAGGAAGGGAAAAAACAGAAACAAGTGGTGAAATAAAGAGAGTACAGAGGAGGTGAGAAAACAGAAAAATTCCAAAAGAAAATGTAAAGAAAAAAGATGGAGAAAAATATAGAATACGAAGAGCAAATCAGGGAATATAAACAGAAAAAGATCTAGGAAGGTGGGGAAAGGAAAAATAGAGCAAGTGAGAGGAATGGAAACAACATTTTGTCAAAGTACTACAAGTAACGCAGGAGAAAGAGGATGCTATGGAGGAGGAGATCGAGCAATAATAAAAAGACTGAAGAAAAAGGGAAGTGAGAGGAAGAGACGTGAAAGGATCTTCAAAAGAGGAAACAAAGATTGTGTGGGAAATTATAGGGGATTACTATAATAACTACGGCGGGCGTATAGAATATACTGATGATACTGAATGAAAGACTAGAAAGAGAACTGGAAGAGAAGAGGATGTGGGAGGAAACACAGATGGACTTCAGAAAAGAGAGGGAAACGATCGACTGCATTGGAAAAGAAGGGGCCTTTCTCATGGCAGCGTTTGAAAGAGTGGACTGGGAACATGTATGGAAGATGGGAAATTGCCAAGAATATGAGAGAATATGGAGAGACAATGTTGAGGGTAAGAATTAAGAGAAAGGAGTCTGAAATGTTTTGGACATGTCAAACAACCCAACCTTATTTAATCTCTACTTAAGAGACGTGGAGAAAGTATTAATACAGATCCAGGATGGAAAGGTATGGGAAAGGAATAGAGCCCAATGTAGAAACGTCGTAGATGATGAGATTAGCGAAGGGGGGTGGAAGGAAAAGGAAGATAGAATAGAAATGGGGGAAAGAAAGAATAAAAGAGGTAACAGAAATTAAATGTTTGGGGTACCTACGAAATGCAAAGAAACAATGGGGCAAATGCGCAAATAAGGCAAAATAGGGTGGTAGCAACGAGACGAGGAAGAAACAAAAACGGAAAAGATAAGGATAGCGCAGCAGGAATATGCTAAGAACAAAGAGGAAAATATTACGAAAGAAATGAATACGGACGTGTTGAGGAGAGGAGTAGGGTAAAAGATGTAAAATGAGCTGGCAAAAAGGGGTCTGGATGCACAAGTACAACAACGGAGGGTGAAGATAGAGAGCGAACGCGGAAGTGGTAGTTATAAAGAGCTAATAAGGGAGTGAGGGAGTGGTTACCAAAATATTTGTGGGAGGGAAGAAAAAATATTGGAACAATAGCGAGAAATGAAGAGAGAAGGAAAGAGACATGGAGACAAGAAGAAGAAAAATCTAGAATAAGCGGAGGAGGAGGTGAGGAGTGGATGAAGGGGATACTAAAGAAAAGCGAAGAAAAAGTCGCATTTTAATTATAATTTATAAAGACTTTTACCATTTTGGCGTCCAATAAATATTGAATTGATAGTTTTGCTTCTGCTTCATCAATCATTGCCTATTATGTCAAAGGTTTGATGTCAAATGCAAATCGTTTAAAAATCGTCCGCTTAATAGTTCAAAAAGAAATAATAGCAAATAGCGTCTTGCAATTCGTTAAGGACGGCAAACTTAACTAGGATAGTCTTCTAAATACGACTAATACGAATTCGCCTAGTATAACAATAAAAGCCGAATGGTTGAATTTGTCGCTTCATTAAAGAATAGGGCGCCAAGAATGTTAATAATCCCAGAGTTCCTGTAGGTACATCGCAAACGCGCCAAAAATTATTTAATGGATTTTCAAAGTTGTGTATGTTGCGTGTCCAAATAACCTAACTTGACCCAGAGGTCTTTAAACTTTAATAAAAGGCCAAACAGGTTTCCAAGTACTCATACTACCAAATATTTCTGCTAACACCCTTAAAGAAAATAAATAATATAACTCGTCATAACTGCCGCTTCAACTAGTAGGCCCTACGTATCTTCCGTCTCGCTTAATAAATACGGCGAGCTGCCGGTTACGGTTTTGCTCTTCTTATTTTGTGTTTGTATTGTACGTGTAATTTCGGAGGAATTTAAAATAAAAGGAAGAGATGTGCGGATTTTCGTTTTAGGGGAATTGGAAAAATTAAATTAAACGCTTATATAATACCCACAAGGAACTGGTGGCAAATTTATGTAAATTACCCGGACGTACAACAAACGTACAAGTCGACAGTGGGAATTAATTGGAGAATGAAATTTTTAATTTACACCATCGTCTGGTTCTAACCTCAACTGCATTACGTCTTTGCGGCAAGAATGCTATAAACACAATACATTTTTAGCAAACATTTTTGTCCCCTAGCGTGAATCGGGGGCAATCCCGAGGGGTTGGTCACGGACGACATTCTCACCATTCGTATAGGAAAGTGTTGAGAAATATGAGAAATACAGGTCTTGTGAAGAATTAAAAAAATATTTTGAGCGATAAGCAGTAAAATATAGAAAAAAAACTTGGGAAATGGCAATTTGCAAACAATGAAGAAATCGTTTGCCCATAAAATGTACTGTGGCCAATTCAGAGGGGTTGATCGGATCGTTGCATAGAAAGTTTAGCTTGAAGGTGAAGTAAATAAACAATTTGATTAAAATTGGTCTAATTTTGGGGGAATAACTGACAAATGTGTAGAAAATTGCAGGATGTTCTGGAAAAGTGATTTGATAACCTTTCAAAAATGTAAGATCATTTTCGAAAAACTAGGGAATTATGTAAGTGTAAAGAAGTAACCTAGGATGCAGAAAAACCATCACTTTTACGAAAGAATATGGAGGGAATTCCCGAAAAATAAAAAAGCAATCGTTAAGGAAGTAATGTTGTACTTATTTTGTGCAGATATTGTAGAAATTTAAGAACGGAATTTTTAATTGAAAGAAAAATGCTTGTAATTGTATCAGTTAAATAACAAAAGTAATACATCAATAAATACAAGAAATTTTGTCTCCGTTTAATGTATGTTTTTCTGACGAATGCTTTTTTTTCCTAAACGGTACTGTAAATCGTCACAATTATCGCTACTGGGCTGATTCAAATCCCAGAATATTTCGTGAGGTGCATACACAACATCTCGAAAAATTGAATCTTTGGGCTGGCATTTTGGTAACCATATCGTAGGCCCCTTCTTTTTACCTGGGAATTTAACAGGAGAGATGTACCTGGAGTAATTAGAAAATAAGATTCATCCAGCATTAGTGGAGATACTAGAAAATAACAACAAGTACTTGGATAATCGTCTAGAATATCAGCTAGATGGTATGCGCCACCCCACTATGCTGCAAGGGTTGGTCAATATTTGGACCAAACGTTTCCAGGACAATGGATTGGAAGAAGAGGAGCTGTTGAATGGCTTTCTCGTTCCCCGGACTTAAGTCCGTTAGATTTTTTTTTATGGGGCCATTTAAAAACTAAAATTTATGCTAGTCAACCAACATCATTAGACAACTTGCGGCAATGAATAATTGATGAATGTCGTCAAATAACCCCAGAAGTTTTTCAAAATGTACGGGAAAGGTTTGAACAAAACCTGTATTCTTGTGCGGAAGTCGAAAGTTAACATTTTCAACATTTACATGATCGATTTTAGCTTTATGCACTTAAAATAAAATTGATTTAAAACTTAATAAAAATACCTTCAAAATTAGGCATCACTCGACCCCCCATTCGATTTAAAATTTTGGAGGCGCTTGTCATCCCCGCTATGGCTTTGCCCTCAGGGGGACGAAACTAGCAAAAAAAATGGTTCCCCTTTGAATCAAAAATTGACGGGTCCGAGGATTTTTTCGTAAATGTTTTGAAGTCCCGAAAATAGGCTCTGTTTCGTTTTCAAATGGCCACCGCTGTATAGTCTTGCCTCGAAAGTCGACCAAAAACGATTTGTCCCAGACCTGGACAGAGAACCGAATGTTCTCTCATTGAATTGGATGTGGAATTTAAAATACGAAGCATAATAATTAGTTATCAGATCACCAGGAGAACGGAAGAATTTTTGCAAAATTGAAAGAAAATAGTGCAAAAATTGTTTTCCTGGCCGTATTTATGGCTAGCAAAGATATCAGTTTCAGGTGATGATTTATTGGCATAAGCGAGACTAATTGGGGTGTAGCGGTCATTTCTTTCGTGAGTTAATAATTTCTTGCAGGGCGCCCCATTTACCTTGAGACAGTCGATTATTGCGGAAACTAACGAGCATTTAATTAATTATTAATTTAATGATGCTATTCACATAACTGTACTGTCAAGAATTTGGCAAATTTTTTGTTTAACACCCCTGTTTTACCCTTTTAGAAGCGAAAATTCTGAAATAATGTTATTTTTCACCCTCCATCACCTCTTAAACCACAAACAAAATGCATAGGTATTTTTGGGGGCGCATTTAAATTATATCATGTTTCAGCATCATATGGGTTCCATCCAGGACTACCTTCGCCACGACCACGACCATTGCAAGTACACCTGCATCAATTGCGAGATATTTCGTTAAGGACGTTCACCCATCGCGCATAATTCTAAAACGATTGATTATTGAAAAAAAAGAATATTTTTATAAAGTGCAACCGTCCGATCAAGCAGTGAGAAAGTTCATTAAAAAAATTAAAGTATAAATGCAATTATTGTAAAATATGTTCCGAGCTTGTTTGTCACAAATTTTGTTTAAAAAACTCTTACGCTTTGTCTATAATAAACTAATCCCTACTCCACATTAGATAGACAACTAATACCGCATTGAATTTGATACGATAGGTGTAAATAATTTTGACCAAAGAATGATACCAAAGTGTAATCTTTAGCTTGTAATGTATAAAAGAATTCTAAAGAGGTTTTCAAATGATGTGATTTAAGGAGACACGTTTCCTACTCCCGCTACTTTGTGATGGTGTCAAAAATTGATTTCGGTAAAATACCTACCTGCCGTAGTGGTTAGATGTTGATTTGATTTGTTTATAGTTTAGGTAATGGGAAATGTATTTGTCTGTTAATAAGATCAACTATATTATTGTAATTTGTTAATTGTTTATTTTATTATAAGTAAGCTATTGTAAATAAAATAAAGGTTACATGTTTCTATTTGTGGTTTATTAGGTTTTGGAATTGTGACCCTCCAGGACGAGGATTAGTCGGGGGTCAAAAACAAATAATGTGTCTTGAATCAAGAATCACTTCATTGTTAAATAAAATAGGAAAAGAACCGGAAGAAATCCATACAAACCTGCTAAGAATCTTCCTAAAATGGTCTCTGAAAAATCCCTAACAGAATCTTTAAAGCGAGATTATTTTAAAATAGTGATAGTTGGATAAAGAACAAAGAATTCCAAATAATTCCTAAAAAAACTCGATCGGCTTTTTTCAGAATCAATAAACATTTTAAAGTCCAGCATAATTGCATTATGGTGCTTTTGAAACCTCTTGCAGCTAAGGCGGAGAGACATACAGGTCTTTTACATAGGAGATTATGATAAAGTAGCTGGAAAATGTGAAGAAAATATTAAGAAATTGTGTAAAATAATGTTTTTTTAATATCCGGAAAGATAAGGAAACTGTCACGAAATATAAAATAATTTTATTGTAATAAAAGGAATTTTGGAAGGCTGAGGAAGTAATTTTTGGAAAACAAGAGGAAATCTTGGGAAAATGTATTGATGAAATTTAAACCACTACAAGAGATTTTCAGGAAATCAACTGAAATACCGGAAATTGTTAGATAATGAAGGAAATCTTTGCCAGCTATAATATACAGGGTGAACATTCGGTCTGGAACACTGAATATATCTTCAGTAAAGAATCTCTCACAAACCTCTCAAGAACTTTCAATTAATCGTTGAACAATTGATTCGTAAAGTCCTTGAAGAAGCTTTCAGGATTTAATGAACAATTTTTAAAGTTCTTTGGAGAAACTGTGGTATATGTTGGACCCAAAAGCCCCCTTATAATTAACGGAAAGGAACCTATGAAATTTTACCTTGATATTACACTATGCAAGACGAAATATCGAAAGATCCCCTCCACACGAAGCTCTTAAGTGCAGTTATTCATTCGAATTTTATTAGGGGTTGTTTTGGTAGTTTTCTGATTACGTTATACGATTTGCTACCAACAATTACGAATAAGTATGATCGGACATGATAACTCGCAAGAGAAATCGTAAGCAAAATCACATTACGTAAACTGTACTTTAGGTTTTATAAAATGCCCAAAATACGGAAAGGGAGCATTAGGTTTTCCAGCTCGCCCAACGAATTTGTAAAATAGCGTTTAACAATTAAAACTTCCTTAATTAATTAATTAATTAACATTTTGGAAAGGTGAGGAAATTCGTTGAAAATACACGGTGGCTTATGATTTCGAAAGAAAATTCAAAGGGCTGTATCTTTTGAACTAGTAGTCCAATCTTAGAAATGTTTGAAATTATGGATTCTACACTACGGATTTTTCTAGGAAAATTCGACATAATTCCGTATGAAAGAGATCCTCCTCGTCCTTACTAAATTACGGATTTTTCTAGGAAAATTCGACATTGTTTAGTACAAGCACGTCCTTTAGAGGGGTGTAACTTTTGCTGTGCCTTAAATATTTCTGTGACATTGAACGATTATATTTAAAAGGGTCACTAGCAACCCCATAATTCCGTATGAAAGAGATCCTCCTCGTCCTTATTAAATTACGGAGTTTTCTAGGAAAATTCGAGATTATTTAGTACAAGCGCGTCCTTTGGAGGGGTGTAACTTCTGCTGTGCCTCAAATATGTCTTGTGACATTGACCGATTATGTTTAAAAGGGTCACTAGCAACCCCATAATTCCGTATGAAAGAGATCCTCCTCGTCCTTATTAAATTACGGATTTTTCTAGGAAAACTCGGCATTATTTAGTACCAGCACGTCGTTTGGAGGGGTGTAACTTTTGCTGTGCCTCAAATATTTCTGTGAAATTGACCGATTATGTTCAAAAGGGTCACTAGCAACCCCATAATTCCGTATGAAAGAGATCCTCCTCGTCCTCACTAAATTACTGATTTTTCTAGGAAAATTCGACATTATTTAGTACAAGCACGTCCATTGGAGGGGTGTAACTTCTGCTGTGCCTCAAATATGTCTTGTGACATTGACCGATTATGTTCAAAAGGGTCACTAGCAACCCCATAATTCCGTATGAAAGAGATCCTCCTCGTCCTCACTAAATTACTGATTTTTCTAGGAAAATTCGACATTGTTTAGTACAAGCACGTCCTTTAGAGGGGTGTAACTTTTGCTGTGCCTTAAATATTTCTGTGACATTGAACGATTATATTTAAAAGGGTCACTAGCAACCCCATAATTCCGTATGAAAGAGATCCTCCTCGTCCTTATTAAATTACGGATTTTTCTAGGAAAATTCGACATTATTTAGTACAAGCACGCCTTTTGGAGGGGTGTAACTTCTGCTGTGCCTCAAATATTTCTGTGACATTGACCGATTATGTTTAAAAGGGTCACTAGCAACCCCATAATTCCGTATGAAAGAGATCCTCCTCGTCCTTATTAAATTACGGATTTTTCTAGGAAAATTCGACATTATTTAGTACAGCACGTCCTTTGGAGGGGTGTAACTTCTGCTGTGCCTCAAATATTTCTGTGACATTGACCGATTATGTTTAAAAGGGTCACTAGCAACCCCATAATTCCGTATGAAAGAGATCCTCCTCGTCCTTATTAAATTACGGATTTTTCTAGGAAAATTCGACATTATTTAGTACACCCACGTCCTTTGGAGGGGTGTAACTTCTGCTGTGCCTCAAATATTTCTGTGACATTGACCGATTATGTTTAAAAGGGTCACTAGCAACCCCATAATTCCGTATGAAAGAGATCCTCTTCGTCCTTATTAAATTACGGATTTTTCTAGGAAAATAGGAAAATTCGACATTATTTAGTACAAGCACGCCTTTTGGAGGGGTGTAACTTCTGCTGTGCCTCAAATATTTCTGTGACATTGACCGATTATGTTTAAAAGGGTCACTAGCAACCCCATAATTCCATATGAAAAAGATCCTCCTCGTCCTTATTAAATTACGGATTTTTCTAGGAAAATTCGACATTATTTAGTACAAGCACGCCTTTTGGAGGGGTGTAACTTCTGCTGTGCCTCAAATATTTCTGTGACATTGACCGATTATGTTTAAAAGGATCACTAGCAACCCCATAATTCAGTATGAAAGAGATCCTCCTCGTCCTTATTAAATTACTGATTTTTCTAGGAAAATTCGACATTATTTAGTACACCCACGTCCTTTGGAGGGGTGTAACTTCTGCTGTGCCTCAAATATTTCTGTGACATTGACCGATTATCTTTAAAAGGGTCACTAACAACCCCATAATTCCGTATGAAAGAGATCCTCCTCGTCCTGATTAAATTACGGATTTTTCTAGGAAAATTCGACATTATTTGGTACACCCACGTCCTTTGGAGGGGTGTAACTTCTGCTGTGCCTCAAATATTTTTGTGACATTGACCGATTATGTTTAAAAGGGTCACTAACAACCCCATAATTCCGTATGAAAGAGATCCTCCTCGTCCTTATTAAATTACGGATTTTTCTAGGAAAATTCGACATTATTTAGTACAATCACGTCTTTTGGAGGGGTGTAACTTCTTCTGTGTCTCAAATATTTTTGTGACATTGACCAATTATGCTAAAAAGAGTCACTAACAACCCCTATAATTCCGCATGAAAGAGATCTTCCTAGTCCTCATTAAATTACGGAATTTTTAGTAAAATTCGACATTATTTAGTACAAGCACATCCTTTGGAGGGGTCTAACTTTTTCTGTGCCTCAAATATTTTTGTGACTTGACCCATTATGCTAAAAAGGGTCACTAACAACCCCTATAATTCCGCATCAAAGAGATCTTCCTAATCCTCATTAAATTACGGAATTTTTTTTGGAAAATTCGACATTATTTAGTACAATCACGTCTTTTGGAGGGGTGTAACTTCTGCTGTGCCTCAAATATTTTTGTGACATTGACCCATTATACTCAAAAGGGTGACTAGCAACCCTATAATTCCGTATGAAAGAGATCTTCCTCGTCCTTAATAAATTATGGAATTTTGTACGAAAATTCGACATTATTTAGTAAGAGCACGTCTTTTGGAGGGGTGTAACTTCTGCTGTGCCTCAAATATTTTTGTGACATTGACCGATTATGCTCAAAAGGGTCACTAGCAACCCTATAATTCCGCATGAAAGAGATCTTCCTAGTCCTCATTAAATTACGGAATTTTTTTGGAAAATTCGACATTATTTAGTACAAGCACGTCCTTTGGAGGGGTGTAACTTCTGCTATGCCTCAAATATTTTTGTGACATTGACCGATTATGCTAAAAAGGGTCACAAACAACCCCTATAATGCCGCATGAAAGAGATCTTCCTAGTCCTCATTAAATTACGGAATTTTTAGTAAAATTCGACATTATTTAGTACAAGCACATCCTTTGGAGGGGTGTAACTTCTGCTGTGCCTCAAAT